AAAAAAAAAAAAAAAAAAAAAAAAAAAAGAAAAGAAAAAAAAATTATTCACTTGGTTCGGCATAGTAGCTCATGAATGTAATCCCAGCACTTTAGAAGGCTGAGAAGGGTGGATCATTTGCGATCAGGAGTTCAAGACCAGCCTGGCCATCATGGTAAAACTCTGTTTCTACTAAAAATACAAAAATTAACCAGGTGTGGTGGTGTGTGCCTGTAATCCTAGCTACTTGGGAGGTTGAGACAGGGGACTCGCTTGAACCCTGCAGGCAGAGGTTGCAGTGAGCCAAGATCACCCTACTGCACTCCAGCCTGGGTAACAGAGTGAGACTCCATCTCAAAAAAAAAAAAGAAAAGAAAAGAAGAAAAGAAAATGATTCACTTATTTCATTTCTACCCTTTGTTATAGTATTATAGTTATTTTTTATTTTTCCATTGTTGGTTCAGCCCAATAAACACTTATTGGGAACCTACTCAACTACCTGTTGAGCAGCCTAAAAGGTATTATATTCCCAGTTTTACAGATGAGAAATCTGAGACTCAGAGCCCAAGTCTATACTGTAAGTGGCAGAGCTGGGATTTGAACCTAGATTTGTCTGGCTCCAGTGTTCATGCTCATTCTGCTACATCAAGTTCCTTCTGGGACATGTCTTCCTCAATAGAACTTTTTAAGGATAGAAACCATGACACTGCTGGTTGTGGTGGCTCACGCCTATAATTCCAGCACTTTGGGAGGCCAAATCAGGAGGACAACTTGAGCCCAGGAGTTCAAGACCAGACCTTGTCTCTACAAAAAATTAGAAGTAGTGGCATGTACTTGTGGTCCCAGCTACTCGGGAGGCTGAAATGGAGGGATCACTTGATCCCAAGAGGTTGAGGCTGCAGTGAGCCATGATCATGCCACTGCACTCCAGCCTGGGCAACACAGCAAGACCCTGTCTCAAAAAAAAAAAAAAAAAAAAAAAAAAAAAAAAAAAAAAAAAAAAAAAAAAAAAAAAAAAAAAGGAAAAGAAAATAAAATATCAAGATAAAAGAAACCATGGCACCTAGCAAGGTACTTTACACATTGTAGAATGTGAATAATGTTTGTTTAATGAATATAAAATGTGTTTTTAGAATACTTCAGTTTGGGTTTCATAAAATGGTGGGAAAGCGTCCCTCATCTCGTAGGATGGAGTACAAAATTGACAGATATAAGAATTAATGAGGGAGAAAGAGTGTTTGTATGGGGAGAGAGTGTTGAATAGATACTAAACCAAATTTAGATTCTAATTTAGAAAGTTTTTAAGGTTGCTTCTGGGTCTTTTTTGTACCTATGCACTTCAATTTAAAAAGTTACAAATAACGAATACTGAATTTCTGCATATCAATAGGCATTTTACCTGGTGAAGCCATTTTTCTCAGAAGAGAAAATACTTAAAAATTGTGTTGTATAAGGCTGGGCGCGGTGGCTCAAGCCTGTAATCCCAGCACTTTGGGAGGCCGAGGCGGGTGGATCACGAGGTCAAGAGATCGAGACCGTCCTGGTCAACATGGTGAAACCCCGTCTCTACTAAAAATACAAAACATTAGCTGGGCATGGTGGCGCGTGCCTGTAATCCCAGCTACTCAGGAGGCTGAGGCATGAGAATTGCCTGAACCCAGGAGGCGGAGGTTGTGGTGAGCCGAGATCAAGCCATTGCACTCCAGCCTGGGTAACATGAGTGAAACTCCGTCTCAAAAAAAAAAATTATGTTGTATAATAATCAGAGATATTATGCGTCCGTAAATGGTTGACAAGCCATTCAGAGCAACGTTAATTCTCTGAATTGGAAAAGAGAAAAAAGGAAAAGCTATAGCAATGAGCACCACCTAGTGGCTACTCAGATGATGTGACAATTTAGCCAACCTTCATTAGGAAAGGTTGAGCTTGCTAACAGTTGTAACTGTGCTGGGCTTTCAGCACACAGAAGTTTGATTTCTAGTGGGAACCCATTTTCCAGATCCAGAAAAATTGAGTCCAGATAACTAACGACAAGTAATCACAGATTTGAGTTAGAAGTAAGGCCATATCTTGGACTTAATAGTGTGGAATGGGGAAAAGTGAAGTAACAGTGTTTCCTTCTTTGCTGTTTCTACCCCCTGAAAAAGTAGAATGTTAGTGCCCAATTTGTGATCAATCCCCTTCCAGATGAGGAAGTGGGAGAAAATATGGCCCAAGATCTGAAAAGGAAAATTCTTGAAGGGAATTGCTCATAAAAAGCTGACAAATTCTATTTTTAAAATATTTGATGTAATTATGGACTTACAGAAAATGTGCAAGAAAAATACAAATAATTCCTGATACAATGCATACATTTCACTCAGATTTCCCACATATGAACATGTTACCATGTTTGCTTCTCCTTTCTCATTCTCTCTCTTTCCCCCACCGCCCCCCCCACACACACACGCTTGTTTGAGAGTAAATTATAGACATAATACCCTTTAAAAAATTTTTTTTTTATTTAGAGACAGAGAGAGAAACAGGAGAAGGAGAGAGAAAGAAACAGCTAACTCTCACGCTGAGTGAGAGAATCCAGAAAGATGGAATCCAGGAGAGGAAAGCAGCTTCTACACTGAGTGGAAAGGAATAGAGAAAGATGGAGTTTAGGAGGGGAAGACAGGCTTCCACAAGAGTGTGAAAGGGGACCCCAGGGGGCAAATCCAGGAGAGAGAAAGGTGGCTTCCACAAGAGTGTTTGTGGAAGGGGACCCAAACATGGAATCCCAATACCATTTGTTTCTAAATACTTTAATATGTATTTTCTAAAAACAAGGATATTCTCTTATCAAAGTCAAAATTATCAGCAATCCAGTACTATCATCTAATGGACAGATCTTATCATATTTTCACCAATTATTCCACTAACAGCCTTTATAGCAAAAGAAGAAAAAATTATGGTCCAGGATTAGCTTTCAATTTTTTTTTTAACTTTAGAATATTTACATCAAGTCAAATTTCTTTAGTCTCATTTAACCTGGAACAATTCTTTTTTTTTTTAGACAGAGTCTCAGTTTGTCACCCAGTGGTGTGATCTTGGCTCATTGCAACCTCTGCCTCCTGTGCTCAAGTGATCCTCCTGCCTCAGCCTCCCAAGTAGCTGGAACTACAGGCATGCAACACCATGCCCAGTTTACTTTAGTATTATTATTATTATTATTTGTAGAGATGGGGTTTGGCTTTATTGCCCAGGCTGCTCTTGAACTCCTGAGCTCAAGTGATCCGCCCACCTTTGTCACCCATAGTGCTAGGATTAGAGGTGTGAGCTATGGCACCCGGCCAAACCTGGAACAATTCCTTAGTTTTTCTTTGCCTTTTATTACCTGGCCAAAAAACCTGAGTAACAAAATAAATAAGTTATAACCCACAGGAAAAAAACCACCAAGAATCTATATGTGTCTGTGTGTGTGTGTGTGTGTGTGTGTGTGTGTGTGTGTGTGTTGTTCATGAATACATGAATTAGGAATAAGGGAAAGCTCTTCCTGAAGAGAATGTCAACTGATAAATGCAGAAGAAATTGTGGAATTAAAAAAAAATAATCATTTGACAATATTAGTAATAATCAGGCAAAAATCGTCAAGGGATGCTAAAACTAGCATTGATGTTAAGTGAAAGTTAAAGATTGATGAGTAACAATATGTACATAGTTGGAATGGGTCTTCCACAAAAATGCATATTAATTACAGAAAGAAAAACAGTAATTTTATAAGAAACTGGCAGACACCACCTTAACAAAAGATGAAAGTTAACATCGCCAGTAATGAGATGAACAGACAATATGTACCTCCTCATATCATGCACTGAGAAAGACACAGTATCCCTTCTATGATATTCCTCCCAAAAATGCATAACCTGAGTTTGAAAATGAGGAAACATTAGACTAACTTAAATTGAGGGACAATCTATAAAATAAATGGCTTATACTGTTCGAATCCTGCCTTGTAAACAGAAACTTAGAGCTCCCTACAGGCCTAGAGGCACATGGGACTAGATGCATATGTTAGGATGTGTGAGGGAGATTAAGTTCTTCAGGGTAAAGGCCAGTTTTTTATGTTTTTGTTTTTTAACTTCTACCCAATGTGCACAAAGAGAGGACCACAGGGTGATTGCCCCTAGGTCTTTTGTGATCTGGGAACACTGAGTCGCTCTCTCGAGAGATGACCGTGCCCATCAGATTGCACTAGACACACTAGCGCTGGAGGTGCTGTACCTACCTGCCACTCCCATGGCTACAGTAACTGACACCAGGGGCCATGAGACCACATCTCTATTGTAAGGTGTTTGGCCAAGGCCTTGAACTCCAGAGGGAGTACTCTAGAATTTGGGGGTACTTTCCAAAAGGCATCACTACCTTTTGAAAGAGAACAAAAGGAATTACTACCCAGTGAAGAAAGCAGAAATATCTTGGCTCTGGGGAGTAAAAACTGGGAAGTTAAGCTGGTTCAGGAAAAGAAAAGTGTATTACTGAGTAGAGTTCAGCCTTTCTGAGGTGAGTTGGAAGAAGACGAGGAGACATTGTAGCTACAACCCTTCCCTAATGCATTTCCTGGCTTCCTCATCCCACCATTAGGCTCCCAACCAAGTCTAAGGGATGGGTCCAGATTGGGGATGAGCTCCCCTCTTGGTAGCATCTCTGGCTCCAGAGCAATGGGCTTTCCTGTCTCCTCTGGGAGAACGGTGAGAAGGACATAGCCTCTTGGGTTGTTTTCTAGTGACCTATGGAATGACGAGCTCCAGTGCTTATTACTACACCAAAGTGATGTCTGAGCTCTTCTTACACACCGCATCAGACACTGGAGTCTCCTTTCAGGCCATCAGCAGCATGGCTGACTTCTGGGATGTGAGTATAAGATCTTTTCTGTCCCTCCCTCTCTTACTCAATTGCCTGAGGCCACGGGTCAGACAATGAATCAGACCTTGGGCTCAGAAATCAGATCAGTCAGGGATCAGACTGAGTTAAAGGGTCAGGCTGAATTAATGGGTTAGGCTAGAGTTCAGGTGGAGGTGGGTAAGGGATCAATATGGCGATCAGAGAATTAAACTAGGAATTAGACTAATATCGTCAGTCAGAGGTAAGGCTGAAATTCAAAACCAATTTTCAATAAAGAGTAGGGTAACTTCAGGTCAGACTCTGGTCCGAATCATTGGCCAACGGAGGAGTTTTAAAAAGCAGGCCAGGGCTGGGCATGGTGGCTCACACCTATAATCCCAGTACTTTGGGAGGCCAAGGTGGGCAGATCACCTGAGGTCTGGAGTTCAAGACCAGCCTGACCAACATGGAGAAACCCCATCCCTACTAAAAATACAAAATTAGCCGGGTGTGGTGGTACATGCCTGTAATTCCAGTTACCCAGGAGGCTGAGGCAGGAGACTTGCTTGAACCTGGGAGGCAGAGGTTGCAGTGAGCTGAGATCATGCCATTGCACTCCAGCCTGGG